AGGACTCACCTTACTATTTGACAGTCCCGGCTCTCAGGTGGAACCTGAATTTGAAACAAATTGTTATATAGTGTTGCTGGACAATTTCTCAATTAATTTACTCAATTAACATGGAGCATACTGTTAAAATAAGTCTCTTGCTTATCAAACCAGCATTTATATGATCAAAAGTACAGAAAAAAACAGTAATATTGTGAAGCATTAAAATAATGGGTTTCTATTTTGATATACTTCAAAATATTAGTTATTGCTTTGATCAAAGCTCAGTGTTGGAAACAGTTGTGCTGCTTAATTTTTTTGGGAACCTGTGATACTTTTTTCAGGATTTATTGATGAATGAAAAGTTATTTATTCAGCTTTGCCATCACAGAAATACATTTAATTACAATTTTAAAAGTTATTATCAGTTAAAATATTTATTTTCTTTGTGAATATATTGTACAATTCATTAACTCATTAATTCAGTAACATCATTACTCCAGTCGTCAGTGTCACATGATCTTTCAGAAATCATTCTAATATGCTGATTGATTTGCTGCTCAAGAAAAATTTCTGATTATTATCAACTTTGAAAAACAGTTATGCTCTTTAATATATTCAGAAACCATGCTATACAACCATTCAAATGTTTGTTGTGTGTGTGTGTGTGTTATTTAATAGAAATTACTGTTTTTATTCAGCATATAGGCATTACATTGATAAAAGTACAAACATTTATAATGTTTCAAAAATATATATTTCAAATAAATTATGTTCTTTTGAACTTTCTATTAATCAAAGAATCATAAAAATGTTTCCAGGAAATATTAAGCAGCAAAAACGTTTTTTTTACGATAATAATAAGAACCATTATTGATAACCGAGTACCAATAAAAATGCAGCACTAAATCAGCATGTTAGAATGATTTCTGAAGGATCATGCACTGAAGACTGCAGTAATGATGCTGAAAATTCACAGGAATAAACTACATTTTAAAATATATTCAAATAGAAAATAGTTATTTCACATTGTCATAATATTTCACAATATTACTTTTTTAACTTTATTTGTTATCAAATAAATACATGCAGCCTTAAGGGTTAGCACTTAAACATAACATTGCTAGCTCATCACACTAATTATCATGCAGCAATCTTAAGAAATTAAGTTAAAATCCGTTAATTACGTATAATTACAGACCTCTGGACCGTTTTCTTCATGTTAGCAAGTCCTCTGATAACACAGGCCTAAGTGTTCGCCAACATTACAGTCCAACACAGATCTAAGGAGCAATGAAAACACCAAACCTTTAAGTTATCGAGTACACAGCATAATAAGAAATTAATGTATTAGTAGAACAGTTTGATCACACGGTGTGACATACCTTGGTGAGGTTTTTGAGGATAACAGCGAGCAGTCTGTATATAATAATAAATGAATGTATGAGTAGAACAGTTTGATCACACGGTGTGACATACTGTAACTTGGTGAGGTTTTTGAGGATAACAGCGAGCAGTCTGTATCGCCTCGATCGTCTTGACGTCTTCTGTTTTGATTTGAACTCCAGGAAAAAATTCCCGCTCGTATCCACGGACGCGGCCCGGATCCGCTCTGCGACTGTAGTTCCCGCCCACTGAAACCGCGCCCGGGCTGGATCCGTGTTACAGCACTGAAACAGATGTGACTGTAACGCGGATTTGCCGGTTTTAAAACGGATCTGGCGCGAAGTCAGCTGCTGTCTGGGAGAACTACCAAATTTTACTATACGTTTGATTGCATCATATAATAATTGCTGTTAATAGTGTTCATCGTCTGTTTGAGTATGTCTTTAATTGATTTTTCGGTACATTTCTGCCATATGTTCATAAACGGACAGTCACCACTGATAAGCTACCACTAAATATGGTAGAAACTTAATTTGCTGTAAAGTTGCTTTGCAACGATTTGTATCGTGAAACATTAAATACACATAAACTTGAATTGAATTGAAAATGTGCAAAAAGTATGTAAATCAGATGTATGTCTTCAGTTGTTTGTAAGTAATTGTATATACTTAATTCAGATGTGGATCATTTGGATAATTAGGTTTGGTTAATATGACATGTCAAACAGTTTTCTGTAAAGTTGCTTTGCAACGATTTGTATCGTGAAAAGCGTTATACACATAAACTTGAATTGAATTGAAAATGTGCAAAAAGTATGTAAATCAGATGTATGTCTTCAGTTGTTTGTAAGTAATTGTATATACTTAATTCAGATGTGGATCATTTGGATAATTAGGTTTGGTTAATATGACATGTCAAACAGTTTTCTGCAGTATGACATGCAACATTTTACCTCATATATTATAATTTCTTTGTTTAATATTAATGCATTTAGTTTTTATGATTTCATTTTATTTAAGAGATCACATGGATTTTTTTTTTTTTGTTAAATATCAGTGTTATTTGTGTACATGACTACTGAGTTTCACTATGTAGGTCAGTCTTATGCTAAGGCCATGATAGCTCTGACAGTATTGTGCTCCTCTGAATCACCATCACCAGGTAAGCATCAGCAGTTTTGATTCAGACAAAAATAATGTGCATTCTTGGGCAAAAATCAGTGCTGCTAGCAAAAGAAAATAGTCCAGAGACGACAGAAAATAGTTTTGGTGAATATCCACTAGCAAACATGTTAAAGGAAATTTGAATGTGCCTCTTTTCTGCCCTGTTTTGTATTTATGCAATGGTCTCAACACTACAGGGCCTTGGTTATAATTCACTGAACACAAAATAAAGACAGACTGAGCAATTAGGGTAGTACCACATAGTAGGAGAAATGGTTTTGATGCAAAAATAAACTACAGACAAGCAACTGAGCAAACAAGCAAAAAGACCAAACAAAGAAGAATATGTATTAAGGACTGAATTGGGTAGGCTTTTCAAAGGCTTTATTAGATACAAATTAATGAAAATTATACCAAAAATGGCATATTCAAGTGTTTACATTTTTACTACCTCCCGATAGTTTGATAACATTAGACTCTTTCAAATCAGCTTGACTCTATTCCACTCCTGCTCGACCTGACTCATGTCCTGCCCTATGAGGTCACTGGCAACGTCTACAAGAAATTATCCATATTAATTATGCCTATAAAAGAGAACATCCTGTATCAAGTCATTTCATTTTGGCAGTCACAGTTGAGCTCAATCACTGGGATGCTTATCTTTCTTTACACACTCCTGCTTTTCCATCACCTTAATGTGAAGGCGGAATTTTTTGTTTGCAGAATAATGGGTGACCCTAAATACCCACTGTTTTCCAAGGATGGAGACATAACTATTGGAGCAATTTTGGCAATACACAGCAAATTAGCATTATCTTCATTTGAGTTCACACAAAAACCTCAGCTTCTATCATGCTCCAGGTTTGTTACATTGTCTGCCCTAATTTTTCTCAAGTTTGCAGTGTATTTAATGCAGACATCTGAAAAGCTATGGTGTTTTTGGTATGACCAACATGTGATAAAAAGTCAAAGGAAAACAAATACCTTAAAGTTTATATCTGTTTATTTGTTTAGTTGAAATTTAGCTTTCTTGTGTAATGTTTTTACAGTGTGAATCTACAAGATTTTCGGATGGTTCAAATGATGATCTTTGCCATAGACGAAATTAACAAAAATGAAATTTTGCTCCCAAATGTTTCTATTGGCTACAGAATTTATGATAGCTGTGGTTCAAGAATGGCTTCTATGAGTGCAACTATGGCACTGATGAATGGACCAGAGTTTGCAGCAGGGGAGACATGCAATGGACGGTCCTCTATACATGCAATCATAGGGGAACCACAATCTTCTGCCACAGTAATTCTGTCCAGAACAACAGGATCTTTTAAAATTCCAGTGGTAAGGAGAAATAACAGTAAATAGTTGACACTATCTCCATGCACATTACTGTATAATTATTTCATATGTTTTTTTTTTTGTTTTTTTCCCAGATAAGTCACTCAGCCACATGTGAATGTCTCAGTAATAGAAAATATTACCCTTCTGTCTTCAGGACTATTGCTAGTGATTACCACCAGAGCAGAGCACTTGCATACATAGTTAAATACTTTGGCTGGTCTTGGGTGGGAGCTGTGAACAGTGACAATGACTATGGAAACTACGGAATGGCCATATTTCTGAATATAACCCAGGAAGAGGGCATTTGTGTGGAGTACTCTGTGAAATTCCAGAGAACAGAGACTGAAAAACTAAAAATCGTAGTAGACACAATAAAAAAAGGCACTGCAAAAGTGGTTGTTGCATTTCTTACCAGTTTTGAGATGAACAATCTACTTGATCAGCTAAGTATTCAAAACATTACAGGCCTCCAGGTGATTGGTGTGGAGGCATGGATAACAGCAAGCAGTATGATCACGCCAAACAGTTTTCGTGTACTGGGAGGGTCACTGGGGTTTGCAGTGAAAAAAATCAATATCCAAGGTTTTGCAGATTATGTTCTAAAAGCATTCTGGGAAACAGCTTTTCCATGCTCACAGACTGAGACAAATTCTTCTCAAACTGAATTAAGTAGTAGATATCATGATCTGCTTGTGCTCAAAAACTATAATGAAGATGTGCCTGAACAAAGATATGCAAGTAATGTGTACAAAGCAGTTTATGCTGTGGCTCATTCACTACACAGTCTATTCAAGTGCAAAGAAAATGAAGGGTGCAAGAAAAACTTAACAATACAACCACAACAGGTATCTTTCTATCTATCTATCTATCTGGTAAAGTGATTGCTAGAAGGAAATATAGAGAGCATGCGCCTAACCTGTTTATGTTGTAGCTGATTATCATTGTGCTAATGCCTTATTCATAACATTCTAAATCTGTATTTTTGCTAGGTGGTTGAAGCTCTGAAAAATGTCAATTTCACTGTAAAGATGGGAGATCGTGTGTGGTTTGACAGCACTGGTGCCACAGTAGCCCAATATGAAGTTGTGAACTGGCAGCAGAATTCAGATGGATCAATCCAGTTTAAGCCGGTGGGATACTATGATGCCTCACTGCCTCCTGACCAGCGCTTTGTGCTCAACACTGAAAACATAATCTGGGCTGGAGGACAGCTCGAGGTAAACACCAATAACCTGTCTACAAAGTTTGTTTGTGGCACTAGACATTTAGAGCAATAAAACCAAGAGATTGTCAGGCCTGATCAAGACTTAGAGGGTTTTGACCAATAGGACAATAGGCTATCATACTGAGCGGTCTAAATAATACTGCAGAATTGTAATAACAACACTTTAAATTGTTTTGTTTCCAAAATTATTCAAAATACAGCAAATTTCTATAGCTTCCATTATTTCATGATTCAAATAGTCTGTATGTGTATATTAGTATAATGTTTCTATGCAGAAGCCAAGGTCTGTGTGCAGTGAGAGCTGTCCTCAAGGCACTAGGAAGGCTGCACAGAAAGGAAGACCTGTCTGCTGTTATGACTGTATTCCATGTGCAGAAGGAGAAATCAGTAATGAGACAGGTAATCTTCAGCCCTTATCAGTTTCAAAGAAAACTAGTTAGTTGCATCCTTTGTATTACTTTTCTTCTTATATTATTTTTCAGGGTGCAGTTTTTCTATCAAACGAGTTTAATAATAATAATAATAATAATAATAATTTCCTTTTTGTCTTATAACTATAGTGATAACAACTTCCTTTCCAGATTCAAATAACTGCAGGCAGTGTCCAGGGGAATACTGGTCTAATGCTGAGAAAAATAAATGTGTGTTAAAGACTGTAGAGTTTCTGTCTTTCACAGACGTTATGGGTTTTGTGCTGGTCTTTTTCTCACTGTTTGGAGTAGGATTAACTCTGCTGGTGGCCATCCTATTTTACAACAAGAAGGACACCCCCATAGTAAAAGCCAACAACTCAGAGCTGAGTTTCCTGCTGCTCTTCTCACGACTCAGTGTTGTTTCCTTTACACTAATACAGGTTTTTATCTGTGTGCTTTGGCTTACAATATCTCCTCCATTTCCCTATAAAAATATGAAATACTATAATGAAAAGATCATTCTTGAGTGCAGTCTAGGTTCTACTATAGGTTTCTCTGCTGTTCTTGGTTATATTGGCCTACTGGCTGTCTTGTGCTTCATTTTAGCTTTTCTGGCTCGCACACTGCCTGATAACTTCAATGAAGCCAAATTCATCACATTCAGTATGCTGATATTCTGTGCTGTATGGATCACATTTATTCCAGCTTATATCAGTTCTCCTGGAAAATTTACTGTAGCTGTGGAGATTTTTGCCATTTTAGCCTCAAGCTTTGGGTTATTACTTTGCATATTTGCACCAAAATTTTATATCATCTTGCTTAAGCCTGAACAAAATACAAAGCAACATGTGATGGGAAAGATTTAATCCATATTCTATTGATAAATAATCTCCATTAACATGGCTATTTCAAGGCTAAATTATACAACGAAACAAAGAGGATAATCTGACAGTGACATCACTGTTTGTTTGTTTTTTTTTTATCATTTTTGTTGTTGTTTTCATTGTTGCACAAATGGCTCTTGTGAAAGGCTGAAATAAAGAAAGTAGTGGCCTGCTACACTTTTGGCTGTCCCTGTATTTGTTCCGTTACTTTTTTGTCCTTTGTTTGCAATCGGGGTGGGGGTCAAACCACAGAACGAAAAAAAGCCTGAATACTGTGACAGGTTGCAACCTGAAAAGCAGGCTGACGCAAAGGCTCCAATGACTTGTTATTGCCCAGAAGCTAGGTTGAGAGGAGTCTCCACAAACATAAAATCAAAATAATAAACACTTTAATTAAAGCACAGCTGGAAGCAACACCCTATTAGTGTCAAAACATGTGAATGTTTTACATGTTTTACTGTTTTCAACAACAAAATCACACCTGTTGCAACTTATTGTTAAATTAGGTGTAATTATTTAATTGTTTATTTTTGGTCTGCAAAAAGTAAGGTAGAAGTCGGTCTGTGTAAAGTATATACTTTAAAAAAGGTGAAAAACTTCATTATAGCAAGCCAGACAATGAGCAGTAATATACAAAATCAGTAGTTAATATCACATGTCCTGCAGTATGATATACATTTCATATATCTGTAATTTATCTAAACATTGTGTCATGTAAAAGCTCTTGTAGTTTTGTTTTTTTTTTTATGTATGGCATAATGTTTAATGTTTATGGCATAATCTTTATTTGACCCTCTAACTCTAGCACTTTCTATTCTAATTTAATTCTACTTTATCTATTTATCTTAATTTTTATAAAAAAACTAACACTAACTTTCTATTTTTTCTATTCTATCTACTTGTTTTTCTTTGTGTGTCTGTGTGTGTGTGTGTGTGTGTGTGTATACATTGAACAAAATTATAAACGCAACACTTTTGTTTTTGCCCCCATTTTGAATTCCTCAGAGAATTTGGCAGTACATCCAACCAGCCCCACAATCGCAGACCACGTGTAACCACACCAGCCCAGGACCTCCACATCCAGCATCTTCACCTCCAAGATCGTCTGAGACCAG